TTTCTGTATAATTTCATGAATTATATGATGCTATAGCATTTCATACGAAAATTTGATAAAAACCTTATTTTATCTGGAAGTTATTGAAACTTCGAATTTCTGGACGCGTTTGATAGACACATTCTTGCACTTTCACAAATTTTAACTTTATCCTTATTACTTTAGAAAAGTAGCAATTTTGTTGTTTATTAATGAAAAATAGTAAAACTATAATGCAGAAATTTCAGAGTAGAAAATTAATGTAGAAAGCAAAATCCTCTCACCAGTATTGTCAGTCCGTGCTCAGTGGTGTGTGCAGAGTTTAACAATTGAACACACCCGGTGAAACGTAAACATTAACAACAACAGAGCTCGTGCCCTGTTTACAAAAACAGTTTATGTTTCACGGGTGTATTCAATTTGTTAAACTCTGTACACAGCTACACAACACAGAGCACGGCCTGACAATACTGGTGAGAGGATTTGGCCCGTCAATCAAATCAGAAGCTATTGTTTTTTTAATGATTGACAGGCGGTATACTATTGATCTTGACAGGTAGATTTTGGGGGCGTTAACATAAAATTGGGTGTTTAAGTGAGTGGGTTTTGCTTTCGCACATTTCTGGATTATAGATGATATATAATTCCTTAATACACAACAAAATTGCTACTTTTCTTAAGTATTAAAGATAAAGTTAAAAATTGTGAAAGTGCAAGGATGTGTTAATCAAACGCCTCCGGAAATTCGTAGTTTCAATAATTTCCAGATTAAATAAGTTTTTGGAAGTTGATTTTATCAACTCCTCATAGTCAGCGCGCCAGAGGCGCATCAATACATACAACTGACAGACAGCCACTAAGGGGGTGTCCTCGATTAAATGCAGTATGTTGTGAAATTGGGAGAAAGGTTGAAATTAAAATTTTAACCTACAAATTGAGCAGGGTGTAAAGATTTAAAAATGCGATGTATAATCTCAGTAAACGGCAAACCTAAATATTTATGTAAGAAAATTGATTTACAGATATTGCGAATAAGAAAATAGTACATATATTCTAATTTTACGACAGGGAACTCGCTCCTAAAATAGCTTAGATACGTCATTTTCATCAGTTTTTAGGGAAAGGCTGAAGATATCCCCGTGATTATGACAACGCATAAACATGTAACTACAGTATCATGCTTCGACAATGTGAGTCCCATAATAAAGGGATTAATAATCAGACATACGTTTAAATGCATGTCAGTATATACAGAGAACACAAAATTAGATTGATACAGACAAATGATGTAAACTCTATAATGTTTATGTACATATGCGAGCAAGATGATTATCACAGAGGGCATTATGTGCCTTCAGTATCTCTAACATGTGTAAAGTTCTAAAGCCCCAGATTAGATCTCCAAACTGCAGCAGAAGTGACCTACTCGACAAACTTAATTTAGCAGCCTTTTATTTTTGTGTCTGGAATGATAATTTTTGATAGTATACACAGGATAAATTTTTATTAGATGTGTAATTGAGATGGCTTGTTTAATACTTTTATTTTTATAGGAATGCTGTGCATGTAATTGTCTCAACAATTAGTTCACTATTGATAGAACAGAATTCGGAGTGGATCCAGAATTTTGCTAATTTGGGGTACATTGTGTATTTTTGGAATGGAGTGGGGGTGTTGAAATAGCCCATTTTGTTCTAAAACAAAACCGTGTGATTCGTAAAGACCAGATATGTTGCTTTGTGGTTTAATATATCTGTAATGAAATATTTAATCTCACTGGAATCTTATTTATATTATAGAGAAAAATAAAAAAAAATTAATAAAAATGACACATTTAACAATGAATTATGCTATGCAATAAGGTTTAATTTATAAAAAAAACAAAATTTATTTATATGTAAATACACTGTTATGTCACATAGTGTGTCTAAATACAAATACCTAAGTGTAACATTTCTCATGCTCTTATCTTTCGCTCAAAGTATATTAACTTTATTAAAAAATAAATAAATAAATAAATTAATGAATTAAAAAAGAGAAAGAAAAAATTCATAGTTTCAATAAATTTAGGTATTAAAACCACTGTTCACTTTTTTATCATTCAATTAACCCTATTTTAATTATTATATGCATATGAAATTTGGGGTTATTTTAACCCATTTACTAAAAAAAAAAAAAAAAAAAAAAAAAAAAAAAAAAAACTGAAATTTTGCAAATTATTACTTCAGTTGGTGTACATAAATATGCAACTAAATTTGCTGTTCTGTCTGAATTTGGTAGATTTCCCCTACACTTCGACATTGTTGGATCAAAGATAAGCTATTGGTATAGACTTGAAAATCTGATAAGTCTTTTCCACCTTTACAAGATGTATATTGTGAATCCAAGTCACTATGAAAAAGGTGAAGATAACAGACAGTGATTGATCTCAAAAAATCTATGAAAACAATACAAATCTGCAAAGAGGGCATAAATTTGAGAAGAATCTCTATTTCTGGTATACATGTTGCTCCATTAATTTTCTCATCACCAATATAGATAGTATTTGTCGTGATTTAACTTTGGTCAAAGTACATCACGTGGTTAAATGTTGTACACCTTATTCATGAATTAATGACAACGTGACCGTTGCTAATGAATATTCATTATTTTTGTGATATTTAAAAAAAAATTAAATTATCAATCTTTTTATATGAAACATAAATAATCATTTGATCATATCCCTCATCGTATGACAATAATGAAGTTCAATATATACTCAGGTCAATAACAACTGCATTTTCCCCACTGGGAGTGTTGATTATGTGATATTTTTTCAGAAAAAAATAAATAATAATATAATTTGATCATATCCCTCATCATATTCGACAGTAATGAAGTTCAATATTTTCTCAGGTAAAAAAAAAAAATCCCACTGGGAGCGTTGTCCACCTTTTCTGAATTCTGTCTTAGTGATTTTCAGTTTAAAAAAAACCCACCTCATTACATGTATCTTAGAAACTGAAATTGCAAGTTTCACAACTTCACGCAAGATGAGGAAGAAAACAGAAAATGGCAAATATTTATAAATTTGCTTGATAAAGACCTTGTAAACTCTTTCACCACATTTTTTTTTCTACATGAATATCATTGTAATGAAACTTCGCTTTGGATTTTCAAACTCGAAAGGAACTTTCGTCATTTTGTAAATGGTAAACGAAAGATTGCATTCCGATACAGGACACAATAAAAGATAGAATCAAATGAGGAAAAAATCATTCCGAATTGATGATATTTTTTAATCTATATTTTGTTTTTTCTTTTATAATGCATTGAACAAAAATCTGCCATATTGAAAACAATATGACGCCTATGCAAATTAGCAAAACGTACACCATTTCTCTATATGTAAATTCAAATATATACATACATACATACATACATATATATATATATATATATATATATATATATATATATATATATATATATATATATATATATATATATATATATATATATATATATATGACTGGAATCAACAACTTGAATCACATTCTGACGAAAAAAAGTCACTATGGCACATTTAATCAAATTTTTGGTAAGGAAAATACCTTTATTAAATTACTGAAAAATTTTGAGCAATGAAGAAATCTTACACGTATTTGCATATCATTCAAAAAATGGTCAAATCAAAACAAGCCTTATTTTTTTGCCTCTGTAGAATCGTGACATTTTCTTAGTCATTTGATTATAGCATACCAAATTAAGAAGCATTAATGTTGTACATAATTTCAAAAATTGTAAACAAGGTAACAAACATAAATTTTATTTGAAATCGTCCTTAAAATCAACTCCCATCAGTACTTTCAGTACTTTGATTAAATTTTATTTTCGTGTGAAATACTATAGCAACATATAAATTGTGATATTATACAGAAAATTTGAGAAAATATAAACTTCAAATCTGTGTCTTTGCACCTATAAGCTTTTAAGTTAATAATAAAAAAATGAATCTATTCTTGTCTTATCTGTTTACAATGTATATGCTAATTATCATGCATAAAGGTGTCATACCAAGTTTCTTTATTTTCTTAAACCAACTGGCTTATCAGAATGACATATAGATGTAATAGAATAAAATAGAAAAATACAGAGAGAGAAGGTATAATACTTAGTACAAGAATGTACCATCTTCCCAAGTCAAGGGTTTTTGATACACTCTGCTCCACATAAACTGAGTAGAACAGAAACCCTTGACTCGGGGAAGATGTGAATGTACGTAGCGTTTTATAACATTTATATTAATTTCCCTTAACATTGTTCAGCATTAAAAAAAAGTACCCAAATTGAAAAGATCTTTAACAAAGTAAGTACTTAGCAATTGAATTAACTGAAAATATATTAGTACAGTAAAAACTGTCTAATCCGAAACTATACAATCCGTTTCACTGTGAATTCCGTACCTTATTTAGATTCCCATTTTACTGTTTTCTATTTTCTTTACACTGTATAATTCAACACCCTGTCTTTTCTGACACAAATTTTGTCTCTCATTGCATGTCTAATTAGACACTATGTCACGTACTGTACTTTTTCAAAAAATTGCTTCTTAGGTCATTATACAAAGGGCATTTCAAAGTACTAGTAAAATGAAATGCGTCCTCTTTATCATGAAGGTTACAACAAATACATAATCTGTTAATCTTAGTTATGTTACAGTGTCCTCCTGTTTTAACATTCAAAATATGTTTAGATAACCTAAATTTTGTTAATAGTTGTTTATATTTTTTGTTGATAAGCTTTGTTAAGTATGATTTCAAACAGAAATCCTCAATTAAGTGTTCATATAAATAACCTTTTTTTTTTTTTTGAAGAATTTGATTCACTTTTTATCAAATTTTGTTTTGATACATCTAAAAGTCATTTTATAATGTTGTAAGCTCCATCATCTACATGGTTACCAATTTTTCTGTTGTATATGAAACAAAAAGAAATATGAAAAACAAATAACATTTAATTTCATTCACAATTTTATTTCATTTATTCAAGATAAATAAGACATAAAAGGGAAGAAGATTGGTCTTTTATATGAACAACAGAGTAACTAATTCTTTGGCAGTAATTAAGTACTGATCTACTACCTGGTACAAAGTTATGTATGCACTAATTTGCAATCGTGTAACTCATAATGGGATAATTTATCATCAATACTCATAAGATTTTTAGTTGTCTATTATAGAATAAATTAAATATCATTTTCAAAAATGAGAAACATGCATGAGTGTAATTTCAAAATAATTCCACCCTCTCCCTCTCTATTACACAAATAATATGCACAAGGAGGAAATCAAAAGTCACTGGTTGATACTATATACATTTAATATGTATTTATTTTTATTTTGATAAGATGATAACACAAATGTATACAAATACAATAATGTGATCTACACATACTGTAAACCAACTTTTATTCGCATGCGAGAAATTATCGCGAGGTTCGCGAGAGCCTCGTCATCGCAAATATTTCTCGCAGCGAACGGGTCCTTAAACTCTCTCTTTCTTTAAACAACAGATCCAAAAAAGGCTTGATCGCAAAAATTAGTCGTCGCGAACTAGTTTACCCCCGGTAAATCGCGAAATAAAGTCGTCACGAATAAAAGTTGGTTTACAGTATTCCCTTAAACAAGCAGTGACAACAAAAAAACAAAGCACATATAGTCTTTGGTCTAATTACATTTTTTCAATCTGTTAATTAAGTTTAAATATTTGTTTAAAAAAATCTTGATGACGAAAAAACTTTAATAGGAGAGTGAATGGATTTAAGTTGCTGGACTGGATTTATAATGACAGATTAAATGATCTAGTAACCTGACATCTGTGCAGAGACTGAAGCTCTACTTACACTAGGCTTATAATTATTGTAGCATATTTTCATTTTTGTACATGCGAATAGTATGGTATGAGAATAATTTCTATTACATATGCAGAATAAAAAAATTGAAAATACTTGACATGGCATATTTTTCCAGTTCTCAAGCAATGCAAGCATACCATAAAAAAATAAACTTATCAATATAAATTGCACATTTCTATATCACTTCATTTTTCTGAAGATACAGTTGGGATTTATAAGCTACCAGTATATGATCATGATTCAAGATAAGCATACAGAGATTCTATATAAATTTCTGTGAGGACTTGTTTTTCTTGGAGATTTTAGTGTTCATCGCCGTACAATGCTTCCTGTCGGCCGTATTTTCTCTACTCGGCTCTGCAGGTCATCAATTCGGACATCTTTCAGGTGAAGCAAATGTTCCATTCTTTTTATCTTTGCTTGTAAGATCTAAAATGTGAGAATTACACTTACATAGAAAATGTTCATGACACAATTTAACCTCAAGATTTCAATATCAGCCCAAGGGCCAAAATTAGGTTGGGGAATTGTATTAGTTAACTGTTTAAATGCACATAATAGAGATTTAAATAAAAAATATTTCTTACTGAAATTTACATAAAAAGGTAAATCCCAGTTGTGTCTGATGTCAAAAATTAAACTTAAGGCTCTTTCAGTGCATTAAACATAGATATTCAAATAAAGCAATGAATATATCAAATAGAAAAAAACAAACAAAACAATGATAGACATTTCAGAACCTGACAAAGTTCTTACCAAAAGTTTTACTAGAACTGACCTCAATGGTTTCATCTTTGGACAAACTCTCCTGGACTTTTTCCTCAAATAGAATCCTAGGAACATTATCTTCATCTAGTTTATTAGATCCAATAGGTTTCCGTCGAGGAGGGTCGGGGTAATAATCTGGCCTGTAATAAAAACCCCATGAAAATAAGGAACACCTAATTTCAGGTTAATTAGTTAAAACAGCTTTAAAGAACCTTTAATGATAAATCTATAAAGCTTTGATTTTTGCTTTTTTACCCGCATATGACCCTTTGACTAACCATTCAATGGTTATCAAAAAGCTGTATCAGAAACATCAAATTAAATAAATTAAAGAATATGTAGACATGTATTATATAAAATGAATAGACAAATTAATATACAATATAAAGGGAAGTAATTTATTGTTAGCAGCAGTACACTTTATTACACAAAGCTTTCACCATACACCACCAAATCCTAATATACTTTAATTTTGCCCTATTAAAATTGCAAACAAGTTCAACCCACTTCAATTTCATCCACAGTTTTATTAAAAGAACAATAACTATTTCTTTATAGTTTTAAATCCCTTAACCCCCTCTTTCCACTGATGAGTAGGGTGAAAGGGGCAAAAACATAACAGGGGCAAATATTTCCCTGTTTTAAGTATGTTTAAATGAACAACATGTAATTATTAGTGTTAAAAGAACCCAAGGTTTTGATAAATTGCAACAGTTTAAAACCAAGATGCCTAGACACCCTACACCAATGTCATTATTGAAGCAAAATTGCAATGATTTAGAAAAATAAATAGACTTATTGAAACCATTTAGTGAATAAGTTTTTAGAATACTAAGATTTTGCTGGTTCTCTATTGTAATAATTGAATGAGCTCACTGATCAAAAGGGAGTATCAATCAATATCCATGTGTGTGCAATAATAAAGATAAATAAAATTTTAAGAACCTACATGTCTATTATTGTGGAATGGTTAAAAATTAAAATAAACATTTGTATTTAACATGCTAGTTTAGAAATGTTTGTATAAAAATGCATTTCAAAATAGAATCATTGAATTGAGAAAGCTCACTCTGTTTTACATCATGATTGATCTCATTTATAATGCATGAAATAGAATAATTGAAGCTCAAGTGAAAAATCTGTTTTCCATTCAAAAATTTCAAACACAGAAAATATTTCTCAAAAAATCTTTGTTCATTATACGACAGCAGGAAAAATATATCATAAATCATAAATAAACATTAAAGAGTACAGGAAATTGTTGCAGATTATAGGAAAGGTGAAAACAGTAGTTCAAAACAGACACTATATATAGATGACTAAAGATATAGTGGATCTCCCTGTCTGATACCTGGACAATGATTCTAATGTTATCACTTCCTTGCTATCAGCATGCAGCATTACATTTCTGAAAATCACCAAACTTTATCAAAAACTGTATCCTCTTTACAGAGATGATTATTTGTATGCTAAACTTGAATGTAAATGTCTATTGTTTTACCGAAGTCTTGTAGAATAACTGATACTAATCATCCCCCCCCCCCCCCAAAAAAAAAAAAAACATGTGAAAAACTATCATTGACCTCCAACATTGTAATGAATATCTTCATACCAGTATATTCTAACAAAGACTGACTGTGAAATAAGGAAATTCTGATGAAAGTATTGCATAGTGCCATTCAGTCCAGCAAAATGGACATAATGATGATGAATAACATTATTTCTATGCTTTTTGCCATGCACACACAGCTCATAAATATTTTTAATACACAAAGCCAGTTAGATTTTAATTTTCAGTTGAATACAATCTTTCAGCTAATCATTAGTAGACATGCTCTTTACTTAACATGAACGCAGTGCATATGACCACTGAGTGTACTGGGATGTCTCATACAGTCCATTGTCATAATATGACATCATATTTAACCTAGTAAAAAAAACAATGTCAGTTATTATGCATTTGCTTTACTAACTGGAAAACAAGAGCCAATTGGCCACAATATCTGAATGAGTTGCATATCTTGGTCAGTTTCTTACATTGACACTAATGAGTATTCAATGAGACCCCTCTTTATGGTTCCGATTACATGTACATATAAAGTAAAAGACAATACAGACTGATAATTGTATATAAGCTCCAAATCATAAATGTTTTGTTCTTTTGGAATTCTACATTAATTGTATATTAATTGTACGAATATTACAAGTTATCTAATCTCTTATGTGACCCTACCTTAATCAAAAGTGGGTTGGGTATAGAATAAGAAAGTTCACTCACACGATATGAAGGTGGTAAATATGAATGTTTTCTTAACAATTTGAACTTTGTTGTGTTCCAACACTAGACCTTGGGAGCCATTTATCTACACTACATGAGAATGCCTGGATATTAATTTGATTATTGACATCTTTGTTGATACACAGTCAGAAGATCTTTTTTTTTTATTTAAAAAAAGTAATTTACCTATATTTTGTGTGTGAAACTTTGAACTTTTTTTTGTCTGCTGTAAGATTGGCAGGCAAGACTTTATAAACAAACCTAAATATTCTAATCAGGTATATATGTATTGCACCCCTGGCTGTTACTGATATGTACAGTACTAAAACTTGTCTAATCTGGATGCCACTGGTTTCACACGGCAGATAAGGTGGATTAGACATTTCAATTTAGACAACATTTTAAAAAATTGAATTTACTGAAAGGGACCCAAAGTTTACATCATAATAGGCAAGATTTCAGAATACAAAACATACAGATTAGACAAGTTTTACTGTACTAAAGGTTTTTTAAACAAATAAACAAAACATTCAAACATGGAAGGCTACTTTGAAGAAATGAACTTTTTACACTTTTGTGAGCATATTCAAATGACAAGAGGACCATTAGCCACAATGCTCACCTGAGACACCTTGGTCCTGTTGTTCTTCAAATTAATTTTTAAAATATTTTTTCACACTTCATTTCCATGGAAATTTTGACCCCAAATTGTGGCCTACTCTAGTCCCAAGTAAAACTTTGATCTTCTATCATTAAACTATTCTAAAATCCCCTTTAACAAAGGATTCATTTAATTAGTTTGGTTGAATTTATCCCATTAGTTAAAAGGAAGTCAAAAATACAAAATAATAAACAAACAAATGACAAACTTTGCTCAGTCTATGTCTCACTTGAGCCTTTAAATTGACCCAGGTGAGCTAATACATGTAAACCTTGAACATAAACTTCTTTAAATTTATAGGCTAGCACATGTATATTATTTCAAATTTAGAACATTTCATTCAGTAAATACCCATATATTATTCTGAGCATAAAATATATCAATCTTATTAAAATTAGATTTCCAAATCAACTACCACTTCTTAAATTCTTAGTGGATTCTGAACAGCTAATTTTAAATAGATTCAAAATATATAAATTGATATTTTAGTTTTGTAAATTGATGCTAATCTTGTAAGTCCTTTGGACAAAATGAGATGACATGAATTAGTATCATACTTATTTAGTTTAGTTTTATTCACTGTTTCTTAAATTTTCTTACATTAGATATCTGGCTACATCTTAAATGAGTGACTCAGTGAAATTGAAGGAAACTTATCTTCAAAAGAGATTTTAAAATTCTTTGTTTAAAGCAACAACCATAAATGAACACACATATATGTTAGGTTAAAGTGAACATATAATTAAGATTTGATTGTCAAACAATGTACTCACCCCCCTCTTGTAGGGCTCTGATTTTTCTTCTCTACTCCCCGGCCAGGAGCAGCTATAAAGAAACAATAAATAATAATTAAAGGTTATTCTAGGATTTGAGCTTTTACTATAAACTGCTCATTAGTACAAGTGAAAAATCTTTGAAACTTTAAATCACAAATATTAAACTTAATCTGAGTAAACATTCACTGAAGAATTTCTGAAACACTGACCTATATACTGATCAGCCTCAGGCTTGTCGTTCTCTGGCCGACGTCCACCTTTGGCTCGGTGTGTAGACTGAAGAGGTTGTTTGGTCAGTTCCCACTCTGCTCGCTCGAGCTTGCGTCTGAGCATCATTAAGAATTTTTCAATCACCCCAGCTTTTGCCATGATAATATCTCCAATGACATCATCACCCAGTGTGAAATTTAGTTTGCTCAAAACTTTTCTGAATAAAATTTAAAATTTGCTTTTCATTTAAAATATTTGAACTAATCAAAAAATTTATCTGAGGTATCATGATCCTGAAGAAACAATGTGCTTATATATAATGCATCATGTGTCTTGAATCCTCTTTGAAACATATATTGTCCTGATATGAAATACTACTAAAAAGATATTCTTTAAATTCATATATCATTTCGTATCATATATCATTTCATACTAAGTGAAGCTCAGTAATATTTTATACTATGTAGAGCATAAAACATATAAATAAAAAGACAAAGACTTACATATCTACAGTTTATATACATTATGCACATGTATTATATTGAAAGGAAGGTAGCTAAATACATGTACATGTAGCTAACTAGTGAAAACAATCAAAGATTCATTATTACAGTAAAGAGAAGATGACTTAATTATATATAATATTCATATTTATTTTAGGACTAAACTAGATATTATATACCCACAGGAAATATTAATGGCTATGGTGATATCCAAGGTGAAAGTCAGAAATATTTGAGCAAGATGAAAATTAATGTTCCATCAAGACATTTTATCTGTGTAAAACTTAGATAAATGGATCTTTTATGGTTCTCAAAAAAAAAAAAAAAAAAAAAAAAAAAAATTCATGCAAGGCCAAGAACTGTAAGGTCAAGGTCATATGTACAATGTAAGGTAAAGGTCACAAAACAAGCACAAACAAAATATATCAAGGTGTAAAAACCTTATCGACATGAGTAAACTATAAAATAAGGATACAAGCTATTTGTCAATTTTTTTTTTTATTATTATTTTTCCTTAAAAGGTGTCAAAAAGATATATCTTGCTATGAATTGATAGTAAAAAAAATCCTTTAACAATATTCAAAAAAATTAAGCCAAATGAAAAAAATGAATGCAAGGTAATAGGGAAGTTAAAGATCACTAAATTTATTCAAAGTTAATATGTTTATTTAAGATTGTCTTGTAAATAAATTTATAGTAAATTAGCTTATTTAAAAGTAAAAAAAGGGGGGTATATAAGTTCAAGGTCACCATTTCTGAAGTAGGTGGAATGCACTTAAGAACCTGTATTCAATCTGATTAAAATCTGATAGATTGTATACCTTATGTAACAAAGCTCAGAATAGACAGGATTTACTGTATAAATCTAACAGAAATATGATTGTTATATTGAAGTAGTTAAATACATACTGTGTCATTTTAAAGTCACTTCTCACAGAAATAGAAAAGTACGAGACTGAATTCATATCATTCATGCAAATTAATGTGATTTAAGAAGATGGAAAATGTGATTGAGAATACTCCAGAAAAACCAGTGCATAGTAATAAAGAAGGTGATAGTCTTGAACATTCGGTTCATAAAAATTGAATGAAACAATTCATGAGTATATGTCAGATTTGTTTTTGTTTACAATATTTAAGCTAATCAAGCAACAGGGATGTACAGGTCAGAGTTGAAGTAAAAAGGAGATCACAGAGGGAGGATATAATGACATGCCAGGTATTCAGCACTATTTATAAACCACAGCTGTATGGGAGGAAGGATGGGATATTTCCTTGGGATCCTGAGGTTTCATTTTTTAAACTATTGCCTATATATTCATTTAATTATTAATGATTTCTAAAGATATTTATAATGGAAATAATAATAATATCATCTGGTTGTATATACAGGATTGCAAAATTAGTCATAAAATTAGTTTACATTGTGGGCCTTTTAATCAAAAATTTATATTAATGAACTCATTAATTATATATGTCATTTTCTTTCTATCTTTAGCATTCTGTCATTTACTAATCAATACAGTAAAACTCAGTGATAGAGAACTAGCTTATATGGAAATCTAATTTATATGGAATTTTTTATGAAGATGATTTTAGACTATGTTCCTTATGCAGACTCCATTTAAAGAATCTTCCAGGTTAAATGAAAGCAAAATTTAAAGTTCCTGTAATGTCCTTGTAATTGAGTTTTACTGCATTTATTCAATTTAGACATAATATGACTTTTGTTAAATGCCTTAACTCATTTCTTAGAATACATTTGGGTGATGGTTGTTGAATGGAGAATCATATAAGTAATGGTACCCAATGTAGGGTCTTTTATTAAATTCCACTGATTATATGGGACTTCACCAGACACCTACACAGTTACCTGTTGAGAACTTTCCAGTTGAGCAATTTTTTCTCTGTAGAATTGGCAGTGGAGTAGTTGTGTAGATCCACCAGAGTAGGGAATTTATTGTGAATAATCTCGGCTACCAAGACTGAAAACAACCAATAACAGACTAATTCCAGAGCTTCAGAAAGAAAGAAAAGACTATAGAAGGGTACAGGGATGCTCAAAAATTCACATGTTCATTGTTTTCAAAATAAATATATACCTTAACTATAATCAATTTTCAAAAATAAATCAGGTCGATCAATATACATTGTATATTTGATATTCATTGGCAAGACAATAATTCTGGAATTGTGGTTTGTGCAGTGGTCCACAGTAGGTCCACAGACAATATATTAGGGATGCGCGATTTTATCGGTATACCGGTATATCGCGATTTTTTATTGCATGATACGTATCGTGATACGGAGAATAAAATACCGGTATTTTGTACATAACTATAAATTCCGGAAATTATTCATTTATTTGTCAAACTATTGAATGACAATTACAGGAAGTGTAAAAAATGTTGAAAACAGTTAAACAATGGCACCAAAACATGCTTTATATTAAATAAATGAAAATTTAAAAAGTAAAGTTATGTTTCTACAGGATATTTTTAAGAAATGTTATGGAAATTCATTTGAAATTGTAGTAAAAATTGCGTGTAAAAATATCACGATTTATCGTGATATTTTTGGGAAAAAATCGTGATATATCACGATACGAAAATTTTGCCGATACCCATCCCTACAATATATGTTGTAAACCAACATTTCAGAAATCAGTCTCTGGATTTGAACATCTCTGTACAGAAGATCACTAGCACAGCAGACACACACAAGAACTGTACAGGACACTGCATTGTACAATATATTCATCATCTGAATCAATCACATCCTATTTTGAGTCAATTTTAGGATGATTCTTAATTTTCTGGATTATCGGTACATGTGTAGAAAGTTAAGATTGTTTATCTTTTTGGAATATGTATCATAGGTGTTCCAATGAAGGAAGAATTATCCATTAATATGAAGAATTCTAATGATTAGGACATCATAAGTAGTAAAAGAATTGGATTTGATTATGTTGAGATGATGAATGTATGAATGAGATGCTGTTGATATGAGTCACAACAAGGATGGCTGTGGAGAGATGTGCCCTGTACCTGCTTAGGACTTTCCAGTTATCCTTCTTAATAACTAGCGAACTCCCTGGAGTGTAGTTGTGCATTTGAATCAACTGTGGTTTAAAATGGCGGATAATCTCAGCTACCAACACTACAGTAGTAACATTAACCATTGACATTTACCACTTACATTTAACCGTCAGTAAACATGGTGAACAATAGATTGATTCAACTACAAGCATAATTATTTATATACATGTATCTATTTTATCACTGCTTTGTCTTCATGATCAATTTGTAATAATTTAAAAATGTATTCACTCATGAACAACAAGCAGTGAGTTTACATGTTTTGTACATTTAAGACCGCGGAACATTAACTGGCAAAATTGGAAATATGCAGCTTACGTCATTTCCATCTGTTAAAATCAAAACATTTAATGATAGACAATGGCCGGAATGGGCGCGTACAATTCGACACAGGCGTCCAAGAAAACATTGGATTGAAATTCTAGTTTGAAATTCATTTTCAATCCACCTCAGCTACGCTAGAAGGCAATGTGTTATTGATTGTTCAAGAAAACAAATGATTTCAATTTCAATTTCAGAATATTTTGAAGTTTAAGTATATAAATCAGAATTTCTGACCAGTATTTTTAAAGAAATATAAAGGGACAAATATTTGATTTCTGTTAGGTATGTGCATGCATGTGTTTGGGGGTGGGGGTGGGGGTGGGGGGTGGAGGGGGACGATCGCTGAATGATCTTGGAAATAAAAAAGAAAGTTTTTTTTTGTTTGGACAACCCTTCCCTGTTTTTGATTGTCAAACATATTTCAGTGAAGACAAAACTAAAGAAAATACCTCTTGTCATTCCAGAAATAAATATATTTTGTCATGTGAAGGCATGATCTGACTCGACAATTTTTACCCCCCCCCCTTTTTTAGAATCAAATAGCCATCCCCTGAAAAAATAATCTCTGTTTTCTATGACTTTTACGTGTCCTTAAAATTATAGGCTAAAAACTCATATAAACAATGATAAATATGAATTTCAAACAACATGTACTTGGGAATTAAAATTATTTGTCTTTTGGATCATACATTCACACTCTGCATTTGAAAACAGCTCAGGTGGATTGAAAATGAATTTCAAATTAGAATTTCAATCCAATGTTTTCTCGGACGTCCGTACCGAATTGTACCCGCCCATTTCATTGTCTATCATTAAATGTTTTGACTGTAACAGACGTAAGCTGTATATTTCCAATTTTGCCAGTTAATGTTCCGCGGTCTTATCACTAAGTGCTGATGTGCTATACGAAATATTCATGAAGTCTCATTTTATACTTTCGTGCTACAATGATATTACTTTTCATATATGAATGACTTGAGCAATGATTCCAGATCTGATCAATGCTTCCAAATTTCCAGTAAGGTAGTGAATATATATTCAAGTGTAAATACCTAGTGAGGCTAGTGTTCCACGAACGAGTTTGCAAAATAGCTGTAAAAAGCCACGTTTGTCATGCTTTCTACATGAGAAAACTTAAAGCTAACTGCTTTATAAAACACTGTCATCAATGATTATTTATCCAGAATAAAATATTAGGGTTTGTGAATGTTTTGTACTTATACATGTCAAAAACCTCCTCTGGTGTAAAAGCACATAGAATTTGGTCAGAAATACTAATCGTTCAATAATGAACTCATTGTGTTGAACTGTGGATAGTGCAAACGCATTTATGTTCCACTTAATTTATGTGGTGATATTATTGTACCAAAAAAATTTCATGAAATATTTAGACATATTATTTTCTCAACGCCAAAACTAGAAGGTAAGCAGTTATGACCAACAACCACTACCCATATTCGAATTTTAATTAATTAAGGCAATCTCTTTTCCTAAGGCTACATTTTATTGTCATTCCGAAGGATCTCACCTCCATCAGAGAAGTCCCTGGCTATGTTTTTCTTTGGTCTGCTGAGTGGTATACTGTCTACCCAAGCATAAAGCTCCTCCAACTCGGCGTCGTCAGCCATGATAACTGTATCAATATTGGTGTTATTCTGCTAAATTTGAAATTATTTTGAGAAAAACTAAAGGTTCCCTAGAGTCACTATTGATCAGTAAATGAATGTGGTAAAATAGAAAAGTTATAGCGAGCGCAGCGAGCGGCGCGAAGCGCCGCTCGTCACTGCGAGCTCTAACGACAACGCCTGGGCGAAGAGAAAATTCGGACTACTGCACATTCATTCAATAGAATTTTTTTCCGCAGTAATTCTGACCCACAATGCATTGCTTCTTGTTCTCGCTGCTAACTTCATTCACGCGGTAGCAACAACTAAAATTTCACAAAAAATAAACTCACCTTAATTTAATGGATATTGCATGCAGATAGTAGATTAAACGTTCTTTGTTAAAATATGTGCACTTTTTAAACTTTGTTTATGGAAATGCAGCTAACGTACGTCATGTGACGTCACAGTCTAGACGTTCCAAATGTCTCGTGCGGTTTGAAGAGGCGGATCTTAAAATGAAGTGAACAATGCGCTCGCCCCAACGGTCGCACCGTCAACATATTAAAATGAACAAACAACTTTACTTACGCCGTATAACAGGAAAGGAGGACAAGATTATCACTAAATACACAAAATCATAATAAAGCGTCCGTCGCAACGATATTCCCACAATTCCCACATACGGGAAATGCGGGATAGATCGCTCGTTATTTACTCAAAAAAATAAAACAATCCAAGTAAATTGTAGTTTAGTTATTTAAAAATATAGATAAATTGTGAATTTGAATTATGGCAAACTTAATTTATTGCTATATTAAAATAAACTATGCATTTTTTTGAAGTGCAATAGCTGATACGACTTTGTTGCAGACTACTTAACAACGAAAATAATATCCGGAATGTTTCGGCATAGACTGGTATTGCCTGTCTCTATCGTTCGAAAGAGACAGGTGACTACCGCCATCTAAGCCAGGAATTCCTGGCTTGATTGATGCGCCATCTATCGCCGCTGATCTACGCTCTGGCATGGGAAATAATCACAATAAACTGATAAGCCGCGGCTCAGTGAGTCATCCTAAACCGATGAATGTTTAAAATGTGTCAGTTTCAATTAACAAATGTTGCAGTTTTCTTTTATCCAAGTAATGTTGGGTATGTAAAGTGATAGGAGCTTCGCAAGCTAATTAAAATACCTTCAGGCGAAGCGAAAGGTGTATGTGAAATCAGGGACATTATAGGCCTAGGCCTATACTAGGCCTAATTATATAGTATATATATTAAGACTTGTGTTAAATGAATGAATGAATGAATGTACGTGGAAAGTATTGTGACCGTATAAGATTGACTGCATCAAAAGCAAATGCAGAGAACTTTTAAAAAGTATGCATTGAAAACGGAATATATGTAGAAATTTTTCAAAAAAATGTATTATAACTAGTGTCAATACTTTTATGATTTGTTTCAAAACATCCCCCACGGTTTATTTTTTTCCAATGCAGTTTTTGTACGCATGGAGAATTTAAGATAACGATCTCTGCACTCTGTGATCTGTTTTGTTTTTCCCGACACATTTAAATTTCTACGTAGACAAGAGTTTTTATCAGCCAATGAGCGCTGCCAGCAGAGGGCTCTTTACATTACTGGTCACCTGTCTGTGTATTGCGCATATCAGACAGGCAAGCCAGTCTAGTTTCGGCACGTCGATTTACCCAAATGGAAACCCAAAGGGACCCAAATGAAATCAAATCGACCCAAATGGAAAGCAAATGGAATATTAAATATATATTATCGTATTATAAAGTTATTAATTATTTAAAATGATGAAAATATCGAACTTACAAATGGAGAATATAAATTATTCATTTCTAATATTATATTTTAAAATACGAATTAATTTTCTATGGTATTCTATACATCTGCAAAATTATTGGGGGTGTGCGGCGCCTCCCCTGTGCCCCCCCCGGTTCCTACGGCCACTAAATAAACTTTAATATGAAATACTTCAATTTGTATTCAATGATATGCAAAAGTTACAAATAGAAAAAAAATTAATTCGTATTTTAAAATACAATATTAGAAATTAATAATTAATATTCTCCATTTGCAAGTTTATTATGTTCATTAAATAAGTAACAACATGAAAATACAATGATATATATTTAATATTCCATTTGGGTCCATTTGATTTCCATTTGGGTCCATTTAGGTTTCCATTTAGGGTCCATTTGGGTAAATCGACGCACCCGGAATGTTTTGATGCATGACGGGAAATTCGTTGACAACAAAACAGCAATGGACGCTTTCTACGCACTTCTGTGTATTTAGTGATAAAAGAAATTAATTACTGTAAAATCTGTACGGTATGTCATGATAGGAACATTTTCACGGTTCTCAGTGTAAAGAAGAATGTCTGTAGATAAAATCCACCCAGTTGAATCCGGCCTGGATTATTTCGACGATGAGGAGTTGGAGAATCTTTACACATGGATTGACAGCATCCCTCTCTCCAGACCAAAGAAAAACGTAGCAAGAGATTTTGCTGATGGAGGTATATTTGATAAAATAGTATTCTAAATGTACTCTTTGATAAGTGCAAATTATTGTCAGTTGAAATTTGTTTCAGGTGCTTCTTTCATACATGAAATATAATGTTTTTCCTTTTTGATAGGTTGGGAAAACTACTTAACAATGACACTATATCTTATGCAGATTATTTTCATATAATAACCAAAAAGAATAATATGTTGACGGTGCGACAGTTGGGGCGAGCACAGCTGTTCACTTAATTTTAATAGATCTGCCTCTTCAAACCGCATAAGACATTTGGAACATCTAGACTGTGACGTCACATGACGTTGTATGTTTACTTCGCTGCATTTCCATAAACGAATTTTAAAAAGTGCAAAACTTTAACAAAGAACGTTTAATCTACTATCCGTGTGCAATATCCATTAAATCAAATTGATTTTATTTTTTTGTGAATTTTTAATTGTTGTTACCATGAGAACATAGTTTGTGGCGAGATGCAATAAGCGTTGCATTGTGGGTCCAGAGGTTACTGCGAAAAAAAATTCATTTGGATGAATGTGCACGGTCCGAATTTTCTCTTCGCCCAGACATTGTCATTAGAGCTCGCAGGGCGGGCGGCGCCGCTTGCTGCGCTCGCTATAATATCTTGATGTTGCGATCATTTGGGTGAACACAGATGTGTTGGATAGTCTACCTATTCACTTTTAACTTAAATCCACCTCTTCAAACTGCAGAAGATATTTGGAAGGTCTAGACTGTGACATCACATGAGGTCATAAATATTATAGTTGCAGATTCCCATAACAAAGTCTGATATGTGCAATTTTTTAACAAAGAATGTGGATTCAACCATCTGTCTGCATTATTAATCTATGAAAACAAGGTTAGCTTACTATTTTTTTTATTGGTATACTTTTGATTGGTTACTGTAAGTATTGACGTTTCAAAGGGTGCCATATGCGATTTATTGGATCAATGTACAGACAGTCCAAATTTTGTTTTTACCCAGGCATTGCTTAAGAGCTCGCAGTGACGAGTGGTGCTTCGTGCTGCTTGCTATAATGATATATAGTATATACCCAAAAAGACTATATTTATATAAAGAGATCTCCATATAGCCTTCTCATGTCATATGAGAGATGCTTTTATGAAAAAATGGGGGGGGGGGGTTAGTTGTAATCTGCAGCTTGTTTTATTATATGTTATTTTAAAAATTATACAGAAAATAAAAAAAAAATAATAACACCCTGAAGAAATCAGATTTACATTACAGAAAATACTCAAATAATTAGGTAAAATGAGTTTTGCAGAACATAGTTAATGTCATGACTATCAAGCTATCCTGAAGGGGGATGAAAGGGTCTGAATCACCCTTATCACCACCTTCAATGTTTGGATCTGCTTTACATTTTTATTGTGTTATTTAAATACCATACAAAATTACTATAATTATGTAGTATTTTGTAACTGTGGTTGAAAAAATGTGATTGTTTGTATATATTAAGACTTATTTACCCTAAAAATATTTTGGCCTATGAGAGATATGTATATGGTATAGACTAAAAACAGTAGTCAGATAGTAGTGATAACTGAAATCAAAGTATTTCAAACTTTTGACGCACAAGAATAAATAAAAATATTTATGGGTTGAACTGGTGATTGTACTGTAGTGTTGGTGGCTGAGATAGTCCAGAATTTCTTCCCTCAGCTGGTGCAAATGCACAACTACACCCCAGCGAATGCTACCAATCAAAAGAAGGAAAACTGGCTCGTCCTCAACAGGTACAAAAAGGTCACTCTCTGCCTATGTGGTTTTTGGTGCTGTAGTTCACTTAACGTCACCTGGAGAACTCAGTTTATTGACAAAACACTTAATTAAGTTCTGTTATTTCTGGACTAACACTTGTTTTATTATGAAAATCAATCTTTTAATTGAAATCTTTGCGGTTACTGTTATTTGGAAATTTTCATCACCTTCTTATTTCCATGCTGTTTGTCCTCATTTTGAACTCATACATTCTGAATGCATGAATTCATTCATATTAAATTGAACTAATTTAACAGAGGTCTTAATTTGAGCAGAATCAAGAGAGGATAAAAATTCCCAGAATACAGTAACTGATATATCCAGGTGATTCCCTTTGTAGTGCTCAGCTGTTAGTGTCTATATTAATGTAAATATGTCAATGATTCATTTACACCTATACTGTTAAATGTCCCTTAGTTCTGGTTATAGTAGTCATCCTTTACTGTACAATTAAGTTCTGATAGATTTGTAATTTTGTATTAATCATTAATTTAACTTGATTGATTTTTTTCTGCTGACATTATTTTTTTTCTTGAAACTATATGTAAATAGTTTAATACTGCTAGTAAGCCTGTTTTTTTTTTGTTACTGTGTTTGAATGTGCATGTGCTTTTCCCAGCATCATCTGTTTGAAATCAATTTATAAAAGCAAGATAATGTACCTTGATGTATGACATGTTTCCATTAAGTATAGGAAAAGGGGGGGGGAGGGGGGGGGGACCCAGACTATAGCCAAGTGTAGTGAAGCAAATAAATTATGTACCTAGTACCACTTCAGTGTAGACTATATAACTAGCTATGTTTGTAATGTGTATAGCTCCTAGCTGTCAGTCTAGAATATCAAGTCAGTTTGAGTGGTGCATGTGGAAAAAAAAGAAAAAGAAGGAACTTCATTCAGCATGATGGTCCTTAACTATAAACCATTTAGCTGGATAATGGTGGTATATAAATTTGGAGTGAGCTTTATTTTGTAATAATTGAGACTCCTTAAAGTGGCAATATGTGATTCTTTAAGTTTCACTCAATACTTAAAGTAACAAATCCCCACTCAACAATATGTACAGTTGATATTAATCTAATCAAATTTTCATACTTGTCTGCTCACATACTTGCAATCTGTTTTTAAAGAGTTTATAATTGTTTTTACACCTGTTGGCAACTACATACAATTTAACTGTAGTATGAGTTAGTATTGTTTCAGTAGTTGCTGATTATCAACAAGATGTGTTTGTGAAACACTGATGCCCCCGTATGGCAACTTACAGCGAAGGTTAAACTTTCTCAAATGCAAATCAAATATGTTGGTACCCAAAGTAAGGTCTTGTCCCGAGGAATAAACCTGTGAAATATGAAAGCCCTAGCAGCAACCATTGAAAAGATAGGAAAAGGTTAAAGTTTTTAAAAGTAAGTCAAACATCAGGGTCAAGGTCAAATGGTCAAAATTAATGGAGTCCAAGGAAAGGCCTTATCACAAGAAATATACATGTGAAATATGAAAGTCCTATCACCAACCATTCAAAAGATTTGGCCAAGGTTAAAGTTTTTCAAAAGTAGGTCAAACTCCCAAGTTCAAGTTCAAAGGGCTATAATTGTTGGTATCCAAAGGAAGGTCTTCTCACAAGAAATACACAAGTGAAATATGAAAGCTCTAAAACCAATTGTTCAAAGTTATGGTCAAGGTTAAAGTTTTCCAAAAGTAGGTCAAACTCCAAGCTTCAGGTCAAAGGTTCAGTGTTGTTGGTATCTAAAGGAAGGTCTTGTCACGAGGATTACATTTGTGAAGTATGAAGATTACATTGGTGAAGTATGAAAGCCCTGGCACCAACAGTCCAAAAGTTATGGCCAAGGTTAAAGTTTTGCAAAAGTATGTCAAACTCCTAGGTCAAGGTCAAAGGACCAAAGTTGCTGGTATCCAAAGGAAGGTTTTGTCACAAGGATTACATATGTGAAGTATGAAAGCCTTTACACCAACCATTTAAAAGTTATGGCCAAGGTTAAAGTTGGATAAAATTTTGTAAAACTGGGTCAGATTCCAAGGTCAAGGTCAAAAGGTCAAACATGATGGTACCCAAGGAAAGGACTTGTCACAAGGAATACACAGTAATTTGAAATATGAAAGCCATAGCTCAAACCAATAAAAAGTTATGAGCAGTGTTAAAGTTTTTGCAGACAAACAGCTAGACAGACAGACAGATGGACGGACAGGGCTAAAACTATATACCCCCAAATCTTTGATACGGGGGCGTAAAAAATAATTGCTGAAACAGCACTTCAGCGCAATCAATAGAAAATTTTAAACATTGATATTGCTAAATATTTTAGAAATATTCCTTTGAACTAATTTGGTTTTTCATTTAGCATTACCAAGGGATGTTACTCTATTTCTCATGCAGATGGCAAACAAACTAGAAGTTGATCCTGCAGATTTGTAGGAGTACCAAAAAGAGTACCGGTACTTAAAATGTTCTAAGCCATACTGTAAAACAAAAAAACTTCAAAGGTCTTCATCAGAGCCTTGAGTTTTGGGTATATAGGACTTGTCTGTCTGTAAATATCTGCAGGTTTACAAATATTATGCTGGTCATTACTTAATTCAACACAATGGGATCTACCTGTAAATTACACTTTGTATTTAAGGTAAAGGTCTGGAAGCATCAGTACAAGTTGAGGTCATACTCAGATATCCATAGGCTGCTAATCTAAATGGATTAGTATTTTATTCATTTAACATTTTGATTTCAGGTCAGTCATGTGGCATGTATGTGGCAGACTCACTGTGACAGTGTTATGTCTGAAACTATATATATATATATATATATATATATATATATATATATATATATATATATATATATATATATATATATATATATCATTTGCTGGAGATTGTTAGCAATATGTGCTTTACTTTTTGCTTAATTACTTTCAGTACTGGTTTCTGAGATAATGTATCATAAATTCCCCCACCTGGTGCAGAAACACAACTATAGCACGGCCAATTCCACTTCAAAAAAGATGGAGAATTGGTTATATATGAACAGGTAACAGCAGGAAACCCAGATTTAACCTTGGTTGTTTGATTCCCCATTACCCACAGAACAGTTTCCTTCCTAAATACAAACCATTAGATAGAATACCACCCTCCCTATACATGTACAAACAGAACAGTTTCCTTCCTAAATACAAACCATTAGATATAATACCACCCTCCCTATACATGTACAAATAGAACAGATCCCTTCCTAAGTACAAACCATTAGATAGAACATCACCCTCCCTATACAAACAGAGCAGTTCTCTTCCTAAATACAAACCATTAGATAGAACATCACCCTCCCTATACATGTACAAACAGAAGAGTTCCCTTCCTAAATACAAACCATTAGAACACCACCCTTCCTATACAAAGAGAGCAGTTCCCTTCCTAAATACAAACCATTAGATAGAACATCACCCTCCCTATACAGACAGAGCAGTTCCCTTCCTAAATACAAACCATTAGATAGAACATCACCCTCCCTATACAAACAGAGCAGTTCCCTTCCTAAATACAAACCATTAGATAGAACATCACCCTCCCTATACATGTACAAACAGAAGAGTTCCCTTCCTAAATACAAACCGTTAGAACACCACCCTTCCTATACAAAGAGAGCAGTTCCCTTCCTAAATACAAACCATTAGATAGAACATCACCCTCCCTATACAAACAGAGCAGTTCCCTTCCTAAATACAAACCATTAGATAGAACATCACCCTCCCTATACAAACAGAGCAGTTCCCTTCCTAAATACAAACCATTAGATAGAACATCACCGTCCCTATACATGTACAAACAGAAGAGTTCCCTTCCTAAATACAAACCGTTAGAACACCACCCTTCCTATACAAAGAGAGCAGTTCCCTTCCTAAATACAAACCATTAGATAGAATACCACCCTCCCTATACATGTACAAACAGAAGAGTTCCCTTCCTAAACAGAAACTGTTAGAACACCACCCTTTCTATACAAACAGAGCAGTTTCCTTCCTAAATACAGACCATTAGATAAAACATCACCCTCCCTATACATGTACAAACAGAAGAGTTCCCTTCCTAAATACAAACCGTTAGAACACACCCTCCCTATACAAACCGAACACCACCCTTCTCTTCTACTCTCTGAATATATTTAAAAATAACAGTTTAATTTGTCAAAGATTGATAGATTGCAAATTCTCTTGACATTTGAAATTAAATCTGTACGACTTGAATTTAAACATGTATATACAAGTACAAGTTAGTAAACAGAAACCATCATTAGAATTGTTAATTTATCTCCTTGTTTAAAGCATGCATTACTGTGGGCATGGTGGAAAAAAGAATAGTTTGTAAAATTTTATTAACTTTTTTTTTTACATTGACAAACCACTTCTCATTCCAAAGTCTGAGATTAATGTTATGGAGTGTCTATATCCAAAAGTATGAAAAGTTAAGGTCATTACATAACATAATCAAGTTTTACTACTTCATTGAAATTGTGTATTAAATTGAAGTCACTGTTTGTTCATTTCAATGCCTTTTAAATCGAGCCAACACATGGAAGAGTTGTTCATTAATATCACTTTGATTTTAACTAAAATAGACAATGCATTAAATGCCCATCATTTTATAAGCTAGCCTAGTTGTATCTCAATATCAAAAAGTTAATACAGTTATCTTGTGACTGAAATAAGGATAATTCTGAAATATAATACAGAACCCATTACTGAGTCCTCACAGATTAAATTTAAGATTAGATAAGTATCATAAAGTGTTTTCCCTAAGAACCGGCTATCGGCCAAATTGACTGCATCAATTGATAAAAATGCCGCTTTGAAATAAAAAAAACAACAAAATTTAATTGTTGTAAGGTCCACAGAGATTTGTCATGAACTTCAATCCATAGCCTATTACAATTGATCTCTAAGCCTCACTTTGAAATAAATTAAGGGAATTAAAACACTGTGATATATTCTTATATATAGTGAATTTCTCTGATTTCTATATTTTCACTTAAGGCAGTTATGTTAGTCAAAGGAGTTCATTGTTAAATACATGTGCTTTAAAATAATAATTTCAGTGAAAGTGTAAATGGTAATGATCCTTTTATAAAACTAAAGTCCAAATAGCTTTATCTCACTTCTATTCTCAATGACCATGTAGTGTAGGGTTGCACTGCAAAAATTCAGTCTACAGTAATCCAGTCTTTGCTGGCTAGGCTGTGAGATATATTTATAAGCCTTTTATTGAGTCCTCTCAGACTAAGCTGTGAAATATATTTATTGAGTCCTCTTAGACAAGGCTGTGAAATATATTGAGTCCTCTCAGACTAGGCCGTGAAATATATTTATTGAGTCCTCTCAGACTAGGCTGTGAAATATATTTATTGAGTCCTCTTAGACTTGGCCGTGAAATATATTTATTGAGTCCGCTCAGACTAGATTGTGAAATATATTTATTGAGTCCTCTCAGACTAGACTGTGAAATATATTTATTGAGTCCTTTCAGACTAGGCTGTGAAATATATTTATTGAGTCCTCTCGGAAAAGGCTGAGAGATTTATTAACACAAGAACCTTTTTTTGAGTCCTCTCAGACTAAGTTGTGAGATATATAGGAGCCTTTGATTGAGTCCTCACAGACTAAGAATAGTTGCCTGTTGATGAGACCTTGCCGCCTTGCCTGTAGGATATAAATAAGGAGCCTGTTACCAAGTCATCATGAATTAGGCTAGAATATAAAGCAAGATTGAGTGTTATGTAAACAAAACTTTTAGCCTGCATATCCTAGACCTTGACATCCAACTACCTATGTATGCTATTAAAGCTAATACTAGTATTTCTCCCCTTGATAATTATCTCATTGCTGCATGTATTTATTTATCCTTTCTTTTCTGTAATTTGCATGTTTCCTTTCTTCACTTTTTGGTTGGCTATGTAATATTACTTTAGAATAATAACATGGTATGTAACATTCTGTGGTCAAATGTATTCAGCTGAACTATTTTTTAATTTGAGAAAAGAAATGTGATTTAACAGATTTTTCAAGATAATATATTAAAGAATCATTTACCTATTTAAATTTATAAATATTAAACATTTCTGTGATCATTTTTTTTTTAATATAAATGTTTTTTTTTAAAAAGCATTGTTTATTGCTACAGAAAAGTGTTTAAAAAACTGAACTTTGAACTCTCGGATGCCCTTATTCGGGATTTAGTGAATGCCAAGCCAGGAACCATTGAGTTACTTTTAAGAATGCTGAAACGGAAAATTGAAATGGCAGAGTGGGAAATGAAGAGAAACCCTCCACAGCGGCATGCTGGAGGTAGGAGAAATGAAAGTGATCAGCCTGAGGCGGACCAAAATATAGGTATGTGTAAAATGGGGCAACTTAACTGCAATGTTGGCTTATGTAAATATTAACATTAGAACATTTATTAAATATAACATTGACTTGGTATTTATGATTAGTATGATCATAGGATACTTCATTGTACTGTAATTACTATGAGGGAGTAACTGCGGAAAAATATAATGGCAGAATGTTCAATTCCTCGTCTCGGATCCATTATAAAGCTATTTGAATAGAACTGTAAGATTATAGAAAATAATGAATTCAACCTTTGAAAGATTATATTAGAAAAAATTGCCAAAACAAAACAAAGTTAAGAAAATGCAGAAGTGATTGTACATAAAATATTAGTTTAATATCAGTCAACAATGCAGGTTTTAAGTATACATATTAATGCTCTCTGATCAGAACAAAGCTTCTGTCTAAATCTGGATACATCTCAAATGTTAATGTTCTAAAGTATGAATATGTCAAATTTTTAAATAACAAGAATTATGCATTACAATAATTTTTTATACATCATTTTAAAAATCTTGCTATATCTCCATGGTCTCATGGAAAAATAATCGTTAATAATAAACAAAAGTTATCTTGTATTTTCTCAAGGTCTAGCCTCAAAGAAACATTTCTTTCTCCAAAGTAAAACCTTTACACTTTGAAGCACATGCAGTGTTTGGGATAATGCGTACACTACAGAGTGCAGTGTGCCTTAGGTTACAGAAACTCACTTTTCTTAAGCCTATAAGTTTGATCTGTATGTGGTATTTAGTTGTAAGCCTGTCATTTTGACCATCCACTGAAGTTTCAAGTTTTAAAATTTAGCCCAAGTGGAACTTCATATAAGAAAATCAGAATGACTGAATTATAATCAAATAATCATTTTTAGATAACAAGAATTGTGCATTACAATAATTAGTCTGACTGGTTTTTTGCTTACATGAGATGAATGCAAATTTATGTGAGCTTTTCTGATCAAAATTTGTACGTTGTCTGTTGTGTTTGTTGTTGTCATAGATTTTTTTTACAAGTTCATCTTTTTCTTCAGAACCACAAGCCAATTTCAATTAAACTTAGAAAAGAGGATCCTTGGGTAAAGAGGACAAATTTGTTCAAATAAAAGACTATACCCTCTTTTAAGAAGAGATAATTAAAATAAGTAAAAATAGGGTGGGGTCATTTAAAAATCTTCTTCTCAAGAACAGTGGGGCCAGAAAAGATGAAACTCAAGTGAAAGCTTCCTAACATAGATTTGAATTTAATTGCTTAAATCGTGATCCCCCAGGGGAAGGGTGGGGCTGCTATGATTGATCAAAGATGTACATGAGTATATATAGGAAAAATCTTAAGAAATATTCTCATCAAGAACAACAAAGCAATGATCAGTTGTATTTCTATGGAAGGTAGCATTCACAGGCAGTGAGGATTCAAGTTTGTTTAAATCATGACCCTTGGGGATAAGATGTGGCCACAGTTTTATATAGGAAAACAAAAAAAATCTGTTAAAACCTTTTCCCAGGAATAGCAAAGTCATGATTAGTCATATTTATAATAATCTGCTGAAGGGCCATGGTTACTGTAAACCAACTTTTATTCGCGACGACTTTATTTCGCGATTTACCAGGGGTAAACTAGTTCGCGACGATTAATTTTCGCGATCAAGCCTTTTTTGGATCTGTTGTTAATGGAAAGAGAGACTTTAAGGACCGGTTCGCTGCGAGAAATATTCGTGATGACGAGGCTCTCGCGAACCTTGCGAAGATTTCTCGCATGCGAATAAAAGTTGGTTTACAGTACTCGGGTGAGTGTTGTGGCGCATGGACCTCTTTAGTTTGTTGGTGATAGAAGCATTATCCATTCCTCTTACATCTTCAAGTATTCTTCAATACCTTTAAAAAAACTTTACAATTTTTCTGTCTCTTAGCATATACTGTATAGTGGGAAAAATAGCAATGTTAATTATAATATTTATTATATCCTTGCATTCAGTAAAGTTCCAAATTCAGTCAACAGTGAAAATATGCAAGTCATTATATATACAGTGAAGACAATTTTCATTTGTGCAAATTCAGACACTTGCAATTATAGGTGTCAAAAGAAATATGTAAAGTGAAAGTTGTATATTGGCAAATTTAAACCCCTATACAGAAAGTTTTCTTGGTCATGCTAATTTCCTTTACCTCAAAAGCTGTTTTAGTGGTGGATCCAAAGGAAAGAGGGGCAACCTATCAGGCACCAACCTTTTTTTCCTCACTTCTTGGTGAAACCTTCATTTGAAATATATATTATTATTGCACTTTATTATACTGTATAATGAATTAGATATCTTTGTAATGGCATTTTCTATACATTTCAAGAGTATACATTGTAGATATCAAAGCTTGTATCAGTACATGATAGTTTGGTAGTAATGTATAAATGTAACATAAATAGTTAATAATCATCTAAATTTGTATTGATATTTGGTGTCATACTCCACAATCTGAACATGTAAGAACAAATACAGTTTATCATGACGTATAAAATGCTGTACCTGATTGAATGGATGAACTTATCTATGATTTGTAGGATCCCCTGGGCGGAGTCGGAAGGGAGTGAGTCCTACTAGAGGAGGAGGAGGGTAAGTGCATGAACAATCCACATTTCTACATTAATGAACTTCTCCCTCCAACAATTTACCTTGTTCAAATCCACCACATTCTCACAATTTTCTGCCTCCTGACACTGCTAACATATACTTGTTGAATATATGCCAATTTGAAACACTGGATTTAAGTATGCATGAGTACCATCACTACATGTACATGTATTACCTGTAATAAGACAAAATAACTTATTTATGCCCTGTTCACACGGAGTGTTTAATTCGCAGTAAATTAATGCGAAATAAAATAATGCGAATTAAACTAATGCGAATAAAATTGTTTTCAGACGACAGCAAATGCGAAGTAAACTATAATGCGAATTAAAATTTTATTTCTACAGTAAGGCTATTCAGTAAAGCTATTATGACGTCATTTACAAATCACGTCACATATGCAGAGCAGATCCATTTGACATAATGTCGTAGTGACTGTGAGTGTATATACTTTAGTGATTAACATAATTTTCCTCTATATTTCACTCAAAAATAGCACAGATACCTATATCTGACCACCGATATGTGGCATGTAACTTAGTTAATTCTGCCATTACTCATGCGTCAGAATTTAATTCGAATTAGCTTCGCTTAGTGTTCACACTGAGGTTAATGTGCAGTAAACTAATTCGAATTGAACTGATTTGCATTGAATTCTCTGTGTGAACGCGGTTCAAATTTAATTCACAGTAACTTACGTTTAATTCGAATTAAATTCTTTGTGTGAACAAGGGCATTATATCTGAAAAATTTTACATTTTAGTAAAGGTGAACCAAATGCTTCAGTAAGCTTTTTTTTATCAATTTTTGTTTAGTTCACCGTAACACTTTTTTAAAAATATTTGGTGGGATGGGGTGGGGGTTGTTGTTGTTGAAGGTAAATCAGACACCAAACTTTATTTAGAATAGCTTCTTTTATGAGGAATTCAAGATAAGTCAATCTTTTTTTCTTTTCAGGGTCAGATAATACAAAAATAATGAAAAAGGGCATGTCACTTAAAAAATCATACTTATTTTCAAAAACCTCTTTGTAAAGATTAGTATTATTATTCTTGGGAAAGAATCATGGGCAACTGTAACTAGGATATTTAATTCTGTAATATGACTGATCTCCTACTTTAAAAAAAACAGTTTATATATATATATATATATATATATATATATATATATTTAATGTTTTTACTTGTCTTGATTTCTTTTTTTTTTTACTCCATTAGACATTAGACAACACCTATTTAATTCGGCAAGAAAAAAATGAAGCAATTTCGTTTCAGTTTAGTATTCTTTGTTAAAAGTCTGTTTTATTTTTCAAATTCGAAAAAATTTTTTTTTTTCTTTAGATCATACATGTAGTTACTGACTCCTGATTACATGTAACAGGAAGCCAGGTTAAGTGAGCAGTGTGACCTATTGACCTTTTGTAATGTTCACAACACAGATTGATATATATTTTTTAAACATGAATATTAGTGTTGAATATTCTTTATAGATTAATTTTTTACAGGTTTGAAAAAGGTTTGAAAAAAAACATCTATTTTATTTAATTTTTATAATGGTTTTAATTGACAAATGTTTATTGTTTTATGTATTTCAAGATACTTATTTGACGATCATCATCATGATCATGATTATTGGTGAGAATTTCACAAAAATAGCATTAACTTGAGATAAACTGTAACCTACTTTCTCTAGGACTCAGAAAGTGGCACTTATTAATCATGTTGGATTACATGAACTGATGGGGTATAGGTTTCATGTTTGTTGTCAATGCATGCTCTCTTGAGTGACACTAAGAAAGAAGGATAATTAAGCATGAAATTAACTTTATAGAAAATTGATCTACTGAGTATATGCGTTAACATAGTGTGGTGATTTACAGGTATTTTAAACGGCATGCTGATAGCAAGGAAGTTGTAACACTTGATAAGCTATTAAGGTATCAGCCAGGGAGATCTTCTGTGTCCTTGTCTTTCCTATAAAATAGATGATGCAGTGTTTCTAGCACATGGTCTTACTCAGTGTTTTATATGTATCTTGTATGTAATATCTATAATTGTCTATTTCTTTTTATGCAGTATGTGATTTTTTTTTACTTCTGCTAAGCAGTATATACTCTCTTTGTAAACATAACTTCTATTTGGAATCTATTTGCTTAAAAGGACATCAAAGAAACTTTCCTGCTGATGTATCTTTCATCAATCAGATAAATACTTTGTCTTTAAACATCTATTCATAGATATTGTAATCATATTCTGTAGCAGTTGAATGACTTATTAAAGCAAAATATATGCATGCATACAAGTACATATTTTACCAAATTTTGGATCATATACAATGCATATGTAGAATATAATTAGGAGGTAATTGTGTAACTGGTTAAGGTGTTTTTTAATGTTTTTTTTCTTCCAAGTTACATTTGTTGGTGTGATGGATTGGATTTTGCTTTATTGCATTGGTGTTAATGTTGTGGCTTTATTATGTGAGTGACTTTATATTGTTAGCTTCTTAAAAAATCATATTGAAGACCTGACCAACTGCTTTGTTTGTGATAGAATTGTTAATAATTACAGGCCTAGCAACTATACAGAGAAGCCTAAACAAAGAAGAATCCCAGCACATTTAACTGAGGCAAACTCTGTACCTAGGCTTCTGTTTGAGGATAAGGTCCAGGAATGTCTTGCCAAAGATGAAACCATAGAGGTAGGGAATTATTATTACACCCCCGCTCCGAAGGAGAGTGGGGTATACTGTTTTACCCTTGTGTGTCTGTCTGTCCGTCTGTCTGTCTTCTCAGCAACTACTCATCGCAGATGCTTGAAATTTTAGCACACTCTTTGTTTAGGCATGCCATATGTTGGGATTCATTTTTGTACGATTCCGATGTCAACTTCCTGTTTATCCGTGCATCTGTCCGTACCATACATAACAAAGTTTGGTCGCAGTTTTCTCAGCAACTACTCATCGCAGATGCTTGAAATTTTAGCACACACTTTGTTTAGGCTTGCCATATGTTGGGATTCATTTTTGTATGAATCCGATGTCAACTTCCTGTTAATCTGTGCGTCTGTCCGTACCATACATAACAAGTTTTGGTCACAGTTTTCTCAGCAACTGCTCATCACAGATGCTTGAAATTTTAGCACACCCTTTGTTTAAGAATGCCATATGTCGGGATTCATTTTTGTAAAGATCCAATGTCCACTTCCTGATTATCACTGTGTCTGTCCATAACTGAACTTGTATATTCACATCAGAGCAGGGGTATTATTAGTGAGCATTGGCTCACAGACTTCTTGTTTTTTTTTTTAAAGTTCCCAGCTCTCTTAGGTAGTTAAAAGCAAATTTAAAAAAAGGGGTTAAATATGTAGACCATGAAAGAAGAGAGAAAAGCTTAAAATGTAAAATTATTGTCAAAAGAAATTGTCAATATTAAAGATACATCAATGGTCAGTCATAACTTGCAAGGCATACGGATAAATGAAATATATCAAGGGATATTGGCAGATATTATCTGTAATAGTACATGTAAGACAATCAGATTGTAAGGTTTACAGGTAACAGGTGGTAGGAATATAGTCAGAGATAAAGCATATATTGTTAAGATGAGAAATGTGATATACATAGCTAGTAAATTTTATATTTATGTTATATGGCAATTTATACTATAAATCAAAATAGAGTATAACATTCATATTCAACAGTTTTTGAAAGCAAAGGTCCGTCGTTTGGAACGTCTCATTCAATTGAAAGATGTTCGCATCGATGATCTTCAGAATCGAGTGGAGTCCATGCGTCCAACGGGGAACCTAAAGCGGTGAAAATAGACATTGACCGGGTCAAGGCTGACAAAACAGAAGTATACTCTATCACTGTTTACACAAAATTGTGATAAATGGACTTTGGACAGAACAAAAGGATATTTTTACTCAAATGATTTGACTAACCTTTTAACAAGGGAGTTAATTTGTACCTTAATCAAAATTACTACTGAATTTATTTTTTTTTAATTTAAGTCATATTTTAACTATAAATGGTTGTTATTTTAAAGAATGAATTTTCTCATATACTAAGTATGATCCCTCTTGCTGTTTGCTTAAAATTCACATTTTTTGGAATTGGATTGTCAATTTAATAGGGTACACTTCTTTTATTCTTGTAGAAATTATGAAGAGCTTGGTAGTTTTCCAATTTTAACGTAATACGCTGGAATATTTAAGGGAACAGTAGTTGAATACAGTGGGTTTTTTTTTTTTTTTTTTTTTTTTTTAAATGTATTGTTGTTCACTGAAATGTAGTGCATTTCCTTTGTTCTTATTTCATTATAAATCAGGGATAAATATATAAACTTGTAATAGAAGGTTATTTTTATTAAAAGTTCAGCCATATTTGCAGAAACTTTGCCAAAAGACTTTTTCAGATTATTATTCTTTCTAAATTTACGAATTGTTTTAAGAGGCAGTCCACCGAAAAACCAGGCAATGGGTGGCACATCGCATGTCATGGATTTTAATTATTTTTTGCATGGAGACTTATTAAAGCAAGTGTTTACACATGACAACATTAAAAAAAAAATTAGTGCTCCACTAGTCCTATTTTTGGTAAATGCTTAATTTTAAGTGCAAAAAGGTCAACATTAGGGTAAAAAAAATTACTACGTTTTTATTTTGTTTTATATGTAACAGATACTCAAAAGCTGGATGTGTCGATGAATATTATTTATAGCATAGACTCTTATCTTTTATTTTATTAATGAATAAGACTCCAATTTATACTTCTTTAGAAAAAATTTTATGGTCCAAATTTGAGTTAAGCAAGTAACTTTTTGAATTCAGTATCCAATTTTCATTACGTTATAAAACCCAATACATTACAAGGACAGATTTTTTTTCTTATGTTATTATGAATACAAAGTACAAACTTTTGAATCACTCAATAAAATCAGTGGGAACAGGTATATTGAAAGAAATAAAAGGAGTCAAATTTACCTTTTTTTTTTTTTTTTTTAATAATTTTCCCAAATGAAACCGATCCCGACCGGAATTATATAAAGAAAAAAATACTATAATTGTAATGTTAAATTTGGCTCTTTTGTTGTAATATGAGTAAAAACTTTCTTGATTTATTTTTTTTAACATGTTATATAGGTGGCAGGTGCCTTTAGTTTGATAAATTTGTTAATTTTGCATTATTTTCGATCGGATCGGGATCGGTTTTTACTGTAAATTTAGAAACATTTCCTAAAGGATGACTGCACTTAAGGATATGCGAAATTTGCGACAAAATAAACTTTCAAAACAAGCATTTTTCTTTTCATTGCAAGAATGGTCAACATCCAATCTACAACTTTATGTAATTACGTTTAATAAAAGTGTGTATTTACGAAGTTCGAATCTGTTTTCAAAGGCAGGGGTCATCACAATTTCTTGAATCTCCGTTCGATAATGAGGACGCCCACTTTTTTACTGACTTCATACATAGTCAGCGCATGTTTGTCTATTGTTCTACGTTTAACAGTAGTTGTATATTTGCATAAATAATAATGTGTCAAAAGGAGATTAATAGACAAACATGCGCTCATGGTTAAAAAGAGAAAAAACTGCTTCTTCTTACATTCGCTCTCTGTGTTGTAACCAAGGGTTGTGACATGTTGAATATTATAATTCACCACGTGATTTCCTACCTCAGGTAACTCTGTGAATACTAAATTCCGTCACGTGACTTGTAAGGTAGCATGTTTTGTGCTAACTAGGACATTGTGTTCGAACACGTTAAGTCATCTGGCATTGATAAAAAATCTGCTTTAATTACATGGACGTGATCATATTGTTAATTTCGCTTTGAAACCTTTGACAGTAGTGTATTTGTGCCATATAGAATGGAGATGGAGATGGGAAAGAGTGATCACATTCCTTATTTCAAACATGTCATTGTTATTTATCTAGTCTAATTTTAGACCCATTCTTACAATGTTGGCTCCACCTCTCATGCATATCTAATGTTCAATCAAGGGCAGGTAAGTGTAAATTCTCTATATTTGGAAAGCAGTAAGGACAAAAAACATTGAATCATTTTATTGTTTCACAGTCTAAAATCATTTTAAGATTTAAATTTGGTTCCAAATTGACAGGATTCTTTCATAAATATACAAAAGTGAATTAAGGTTTAGATATAAAAGCAACAGAAGCAACCGAAAAAGACCCAAAAACCGGCGTTAAGTGCAGTCATCCTTTGGCTCTTCATTTTAATTTATCAGAAAAATATGCTTGTCTTTTATTTCTTTTCAGTCAGTTAACTGTTTTTAAATGAGTGTAACCATAGATTCAAATTTATATATTATTTAAATTACTAATGTCTTTTACGTACATGAAGATTACATGTAAAACATCTGATTGAATTCTTAATAGATACTCGGTATTTAAAAAAAAGTATTTGTACATGCATTATGCAACAAATGAGAGCAGACAGCTTTCTAGCTTTATTATTTATCTTATTTCCAAGTAAAATTTCTTTTTTATTTCCTCAGGAATTAAAGAGTAAATTCTATCAGTGGCGAAATTAAACTTGCCTAAATACAGGAAATATTTTTATGTGTACAGTCTCGACTTTATCCAAGTTTTTCCTTACCTGTCATCTGTAAAGCCTTTTCCTCTTTTACAAAATTTGATTTTATATAAATAAGAAAATAAGTTCTTTCATATATAGTATCATTATTCAAGAGCCGATAAATCGCAAGCAAAAAGCGGGGGGGGGGGGGGGGGGGGGTCATGACATCATTATTTTTAAAAATTGGTTTCATGTACGTGAAAACATTTTAGAATTGGCCAACATAGTCACTTGTTTAAACTCCATATTAAATGTGAGTGTGTGATTGTTTCAATCGCCAAATTAAAAAATAAATAAGTAAAATAAAAAAAAAACCGAAATGTTTCACTAAACCATCTTCCGTTTTAGTGCCAAATTATAGTGGGGAGTTCAGAAGTAGTTTAACTCACTAAATATATTTTTATAACTTATTTTTCAGTTGTTTTTTTTTTTTCATTTTTAATCGTACTTCGGATTGTTTATTTTGATTTGACTGCATAGATAAATATATTTAAGTTTTTACAAATATCATGAAGTAAAACATTATACATTGTCAACTACGTAATGAATCTAGTAATCTGAATGCTCACTTGTATAATCATTATTTAAGTGAAATGGCATCTTCTACTAAGTGCGGATATCCAAACGAGGATAACTATCATTTTTTCTTAGAATGCCCTGCCTATAATAATCAGAGAATGATACTTCTTGACAGTCTTCAGAGTATAATAGATTTAGAAACCCTCTCTCCAGATCAAATTTTGAATAATTTGCTATTTGGTGATAGGCAATTGTCTGATAAAACTAACTGTTCAATTTTTGAAGCAGTCCAACTATACATCAAGTTTTCAAAGCGATTTTGATATTATTTCATATTTAAGTTTTAATATTAATTTCCTAATATTTTTGATATTTATACTTATTTCAAATCTCAGCATTTCCATGTATATATATTGTATTTTTTTTATATTTGTCTTTTGCATTTTCATTTTTTTCTTTATTATTATCCAGTGTTTTTGCTTGTTCCAGATTTATTTATTTGTTATTATCAATACTATTTTCTTTGCTTTATTTTTTTTTTTTTTTTTTTTTTTTAATTTCCTTGCATATTTGTCTTTTGCACTTCATTTGTTTACTTATTCTTTGCACTCTTTTATTTTTTCATTATATTGTATAGTGAGTATACATGCTAAGTAATAACTCTTGTGAATTTATTAATCTATCTCTCTTTTTTTCTCCTATTTCTGGTAAAAAAAAAAAAGAAATTAATGTAACTTATTATGAATTATTTCATCATGATTGTAAATCATTGTCAATTCTTAACATTTGTAACCTTGACCTTCTTGGAGAGGACTTATATAGGCCATGCCTGATGTCCAATCCAATTATGTAAACTGACTTTACATAATAAAATACTGATTAAATTAATTAAGTAAACATCTCAACTTCGTTGAATTAAGTGTTGCGTAAATCTAAAACATTCATCATTGATTCCCAATTTTATAAGAAATGTTCACGATAAACACTTCATTAATTATTTTTACGCATATCCTAGTAAATCAGTTAAAAAAATTAGTTCTCAGACATGTATAAAATTACTTATCAAAACGTCATCTAGCTGAGACGCCGCCCGTGTATAAAATACATTTTGATATTAAAATATTATTTAACATTTAGAATAATGCACTCTGAAGAGTAATTAAACAGAAAAAGAGAAATCATTTATTTAAAAATCTTTTTTACACTTTTACGCAAAGAATTTACAAACTTCTCTGGAAACTTGTAACTATTTCATTGTGACGCAATATTCGTCAGGTATATGACGTCACTGATACATCAATGGAAACGTGGATTCAACCTGAATAATAGAGCCAATTTTAATCTAAATATTACGTCTGGAGGCGAAAATGAATTATATTTTGAAAATAAATTATTTAGTTTTATGTTTAATTATTTTCTTTAGTGTATCGATTCTAAATATTTCACTAGGATTCCGATAAAAAGGTGTTGAGCAGATTTACCGATGCCACGGGAGATAACTCTTGCATCGCAAAATTTCATTAAAACGTCCTTATATTTTGCCAGAAAACTACTATCAAAAGTGTTTTTCCCACCGATTTTATTTTTTAAACAAAAAGTTGAAATATTTCTAGATTTAGTTAAGTGTGAATTATAGTCCTGTTAAAAATGTATTAGAAATTACAGTTCTTTGTTTCTGACCTACATTCAATGGTTTATATAGGGGCATTCAAAAACACAAAACACAAGGATATTTTACTAAATAAGCAATTATCAAACAAATCTTCAATTACATTATTCCTTTTGGGCTACACTGATATTGTTTTTAATAAAATATCAAATATTCCTCACATTCGATGTGCCACCTATTAATACAATACTGCCTGGTTTTTCGGTGGACTGCCTCTTAAGATATATCAAGTAGGGGAAATATTAAAGCCATGTCACTCATGAAGACAGTTCATAAAATATTGGCAAATCTAGTTTTGTAACCTTGATTAACATCCCTAATATCATGTCAAAATTGTATAATTTGTGAAAATTTCCAGTCATTTGGTATCAATATATCATAGATACCTGTCATTAGACGTACTGCATGCTTACATACCAAAGAAATTACCTGTTGTCCAGTTTTTGTGAAGTATGAAATTGTACAGACCATGTTTGAAATCCGTCCTCTAACATTCCATTGTTTCCGTCCTCCAGATACATATAGCTGATTGTTTTTTGTTTTTTGTTTCACTGCATGCACAAAGATGTATAATGTAGCTAATCAGAATTATATTGAGGAATAAATATTTATTGAACTGATTTATAATATTTCTTTTATAATTGATGTTTTGATGGCTTAATCCTATTTGAATGGAATTTAATCGCGGTTTTTTAATTGAATGTAAGTAGTTTAATTAGCATTTTAGAATCCCAAATTTGATGTAAGAAAAATATGATGCAGAATTTTAGAAATAAAGGTCCAGACTAAAATCTGCTCAAAAGCTAAGGATCGAACCTCCTGAAACGCAATAAAAAATATTTCTTTCTCTGAACTGGCCTGAACAGGCTTGCATAGTTTTGTCGTTTATTTGTATTATTTTTTTGTGCATTTGTGTATGAAATGTCCTCTTAAAGATTGTATTTTTCTTCCGAAACTGTCCTATACTGTATTCAGTCAAAAATGTTAAAAGACTTCTATCTTAACCTACTATAGAAGGGGAAAAGGAGGGATTTGTTAATGACTTTGTTTTAAAAAAAGTCAAGTCAGAACCAGCAAATCAAATGAATTTGTCAAATTGGTTTTTGAGTTGTTGCTGATAGACGAGGGGAATTATCCTACTGACCTTAACGTATCCCCAGATACAAGTGACCCCTGATAAAGAAAGTTGTATTATCAACCAAGAACACCACTGTAAATAGTTACACATTCTGCATGTGAGTCTGTAATCAAGGGGCCTGTTTTATGTGACTGAGCGTTTTTTTTTTCGCACGTGAATTAAAAATATGAATTCTGAGGAGGAAGACCCGCTCTTTTTACCTGCCGTTACCAAGGTAAT